TTACCTTGGCACAGAGTTGTGCATGGCTGGGAAGCACTGTTTCTAAACAGTACTCTCCCCAAGAACTGATGGAGGGGTGAGTCAGGCCCTTATGACCACTGGCCACGTTTTAGGGAGTCTCTGAAGCAGGTTAAAATAAGTGGCCAGCCCCACCCGCCCCATAAGGGGGGCTTATGTCATAGACAAACCAACAGGCCTGTGTGGCATTGGGATTTGTACGGTTCAGTGCTTTATATGCGAGCTGTCAGCATTTTCCATAAGGGATCTGATGAGCTCTATCGGGCGACGGTGGGGCCCGGCGGTTCCTGTGCTAGCCATTAGTGTGGAGTCCTGCTGGAGGTGTCTGGGCGTGCTGCCCGGGCTGGGCCTGGCAGTAGCTGGCCCCTAGGATGATTACCCTGGATTGGCATCCTACCGTTGGTTGGGAAGCGGGGGTAATTTTTTCAGTTGATATATTTAAGTGAGCAACCGTGCGTCTTTGGTAGAGGCATATTCATGAGAGTCTGTTATCCCGCTACTCTTTCTTTCTTTATTCTGTAAATTTTACCCTTATTGGTTGCGTCTCCTGGCATACTGTTTTAGTACAAGGTTGACATAGGACATGCTATGAGAGAGGTGTGCCGCATATCATTGCCCCTCCTTTGCGTGGTCACACACCACCTTTGGAACAATAATAGTACTTGCAATACCCACACTGACGTTTTCCTGAGGGGGCCAAGTCCCGGACAGGCATAAACCATTCTGCTCATAGAGGGTTCGTTCTATGCTTCTCTCATGGTCCAGTTATCACGACCTGGGGATAGGGCAGCAGCAGGCCTCGCTGCGGTTCGCTATTGTCCTGTGCTGGCTTTTCTAGGGGGTTGACTTTTTCTACAGTTAAAGCTATAAGGTGCCGGCCCCAACTGTTTAAGGGGGGCCCCCCAGCAGGTCATGTTCAGACCGTCCGTGGGTTTCTTGATTGGCCTTTCATGTCCAGGTTATGGGTTTGTGGGGCATTGCAATTGTTCCATCACACTTACAACCCCCACCATATAAAAATGCTCTCAAGAGATATAAACAACCCTGCATGACATTTTTGTAGTGAGGTCAATCTCCGCTGCCGGCCTGAGTTAGACAGTAATAGTAGTAGTCCCAGAGGAATAGTACTCAGCTGGCTATCGTGGCGCTGCTGCTACTGCGAGGTCCGACTGACCTTACAGTGGATTCTCTTGGGTTCACCGTGCTCTCACACTGGCTCCGGCACCATTCTAGGTCGTTCTTGTTGACTGGCTTACGTGGGAGTGCGTGTCATCCAAGTTGATATGCTGTCGCAATGGGGTTCCTTGACCTCCCCGCTGCATGAATCTGGCAGGCTCGGCAGTCCGGACGGATGTCGTCTGCCACTCGTCCTGCGCATGAACTGAGCTGGGCGGATGTTTAAACAGTATGTAAATTTTTCTCTTTCCTAAATGTGGTCGGTCTGGTGTAGGTGCGTCCACCAGGTGACGTCAGAGTTCTGGCACTATCAGGCGGTGTTCTTTGTTTGCAGCCGCCATCCCACCTTTTTCGCAGTTAGTCGTTTTGCAGCCCAGGCCTTCGTCTGCACTGGAGATAGTCTGGCAGGGAGGTATCCTGTCCATGCCCCGGGGGCGGAGCCGATTGTGTAGGATATTATGGTGGCGTAGCACCCCCCGCCGCTTTCTTAGCCTCGGCGTCTGCCGTCGGTTGCCTAGCTCCATGAGTTCCTGGTGTCCGGGGTGTGGACCTCCGCTACTGCTTTGGCAGCCAGGACAGCCTCTAGCAAGCGGACAGGGTTTCGGGCTTATGCTTGCTCTCCTTCCTTCTCTGTGATGAACCATCTCTGTTAGAGACTCCGTGTATGTGCACAGTCGCCAACAGACTACGGCCACTCGCCGTGTCGCCTCCGTCTCTTCTTGGCCCCGGCAAAGGGCCTCTGTCAGTGCTCAATCAACTCTGCCTTTGACGATGTCCCCTGTGGGAGGCATGCCGCCCGACTAGTTTGATCCTGGTCTCGACTCTGGCCGCCCCTGTGTACCCTGTGTCCTGTCCGGGCGAAAATGCTCCATCCGTGAACAGATCAGGTCGCTGCTTGGAGAGGCGGTCTTTTAAGTCCATTTGGCCATCGGGTTCGCCCGATCTCAAGGAGTCAGTCGCTCGGTGGCAGCTGAGTGGGGATGGCAGGCAGCGTGGCTGGATTCAGGCGGGGGGGCCCGGAACTCGATGCGGGGAGACGTCCAAGCGAGTCTTGGTAGTGGTCAGCCTCCGTTCGTTCCTTCGTGCCGAGGCTGCTTTAAAACCCAACCCCTTCTATAGCGTACGCGGGGGTAGTGATGAGCAACGCTGCCCTAAAGTACGCTTATCCGCGTCTTTTGACTTCAGAGCCTGTGGCTGCGGATCATTCGCAAGCATGCTGGCCACCCCCTGGCCTGTAGGATCCGTTCTTTGATAGGTATGCAAGCCTTTTCCAGGGCCCTAGGGTTTGCCTAAGCACCCTTAGCTATCCGATTTTTCATCTATATACGAAGGTGGATTCTGGTAGGTCTTGGGGCGTAAGGCAAGGCCTCTAAGCATACAGGCTGCCTCCAGCGCTCGCCGCCGCCTCTGCTCATCCATTTCATGTCAGCCGCCTACACCTTCTACAAGGTCGGGCCCTTCTTCTGCGATCCGATCCGAGGCGGCAGTGAAGCCTACCAGCCCCAGGAATCTCTTGCCTCGCTTAGAAGCTTGGGGTAGGTATTCTTAACACGGTTGCTATGCCTCAGTTAGCCACCCTTTGGCCCCTTTTGATCTATAGCAAATAGGTGACTTCTCCTTCAAATCTGGGCCTTCTTTTGCACTGGCCCGGTACCTAGTTTTGCCTAGTACCCTAAGAGTCCTTGGTGCTTTCCCGCGCTCGCGCGGATCTGGGGCAGCTAAACAAGTCATCCACGTATTGTACAGAGTTACCTTCAGATGGTTGGCCTTCGGTACTACTCAGGTCATCTTGGAGGGCCTCGTTGATGCCGCCCGGTTGGTGGCGATTCTTGAATCCCCCTTGATTGGGGCAGTCATCGTCCATCGTCTGTGCTGGATCCCTCCTCTACTTCATCCTGCACTCAAAGGCGCAGATCTCCTGGCAGCGTGTCCACTATCGCCAGCTGAAGAAGATCTTTCAGTCTAGGAAGTGTACCACGACAAAGTAGGGAGAGAGAGCTTAACAGGGTGTAGGGGTTTTGGCAGTAGGTGGATGTCCAAGGTCTCACCTTGACCTCCCTAAGATCTGCACGGCCTACTCTCTTTCCCCCGTTTCTTTACCGCAAATAGGTGTATTCCACGCCGACTGGCCTTTCCGGAGAAACCACTGTCCAGAAGTCTCCGAATGTGGGCGTTCTCCCCTTCTGAGCCTCCTTGGGACATGGGATACATTGCTTGACTCTGGCGCTCGGCTCCGGGCTTTATTCATGTAAAGAGGCAGCCTGTGCTTGGCTAACCCGGTTCCCCTGTCCGGCCCAGGCATGGGAAACTCGGGAGCATTGATCTTCCGCTTCTCTCCATGTTAGTGAGCTGGTATTAAGTCCTGTATTCATCTGCTCGCTAGTGTCCGACCTGGGTGCCCGGGCAGCAAGGAGAGAGTTAACTTCACTATCACTTATTGTCCACCCTTCTTCTTCAAATGCTTCGGGCCTTGAGCTTGGTAAGGCTATCTCTGCCTAGCGCGGGCGTGGGACACTTCGGCATACACCATAAGCGCATGGCTCACTGACCTGAGCCCAAGTCTACCGCCAGCTTTCCATCGTTGGTCCATCGATATGGTTTGGTTCCAGTGCCCTGTACCCAGCTGGTTATTAGAAAGTTTTCCCCTGTCCTGGGTTAGCACCGGAATGTTCTGCCTGGTGTTATGAGGAAATTAACTGATTCCTCACTCGCAGTTACCCTGGGTTCGGGGAGGGGACCGAACCCCGTCCTACTATCTGCTTGGCCCGCCATAGGCATCCTTTCGGACCTCCATTCCCCGTCCTTTCTCCGGGGACATTCCCGTGCCGTGCCATGCTCCTTGCAGTTGCACATTGTTCCTGTCGAGCCTTTTGCCGAGGTTTGTCCTGTTTCCTGTTCACGTTGTCGCCCTCCGCCAGCTTGCAGCTAGCAAATTTTGCATTTCTTATTTGCCTTCGCGCCTTCCCTGGGCTGGAACTTCCTATCCTCCTTCTCATCCTCCTCACCCTTTTTCCGCTGTCTCCTATTATTGTACTACGGTTCTCTGCCACCGTCTAAAAAGGTCCGGCAAGCGTCTTTTCCCTAATCCCTATCAATCTTCTGTTAGCCTTCACGTCTAATGTCCGGGGCCTGCCTGATTGACGAACGCCATCATGAACTGCAGCTTATTCTCTCTAATGTGGGATCTATGGGGTGTGACCGCTGGTCGAAAAGGCCTCATAATCCTTTCTAAATATGCGGCTGGGCGCTCCTCCTTCGGGCCCTTAAGAAAACCCGGTGTCTCCTCCCCTTAGCCAACATTGGTCGCCCCCCCGCAGGCCCTCTTTCGTGCCGCCATGCAGGCGGAGACCCGGCCCATTAAGTCTGGCGGTACAGGACGGAGACGTCCACCTTTAGGCCTACACTGCCGTTCACAGTGATCGTCCGAACCATCGAGGAAGGTTGCAGATCAATGGTTCTCGGGTTTGTAGTTAGGGCCTGGCGTCCTTTCCGGAACAGTTCTTGGCTCCCCTGAATTCTTCTCCCTTTCGCTCTGTGGTGAAACAGCAGCTGGAGCAGCTGCTGGCAAGTCATGCCGAGGTAGGCCTGATGTGTAAAAAGACAGAGCTAAAAGGTAATAACGGTCGGCGCTGGGGTTATCGGCAAAAGTTTGAGTGAGATCGCAGTTGTACAGGTCACCTGGTGGAGAAGGCCAATATTGATTACCAGTCTGTGTCCGCATCGTCTCCCCGCGGGGCGCTACTGCCCGTCAGGGAATGGGGCTTCACGGGCTCGGGGTGTGGAGTCCGACCTGTATGCTTGCCTAGTGCGCATAGGCCGCGGGCGTTCGTACCCCTCTGCTGCCAGCTGGCAATCCGCGCTGGGGGCGGCAGAGCAGCCCCCCACCGATCGGGGCTGCTGGGGCCGGCGAGTGCCGCTCTGGATATAAAGGGGGACAGGGGGCATGTCTTCAACGCCGCGGTCAGGGTCAGGGTAGGAGGTTAGAAGCTGGGACGAAGCGTTGGGCGGGTATGACGAACTGGGCTTCCCTTCTTCCCAGCCCTCTTGTACTGGTGAGGATCTCTGTATGGCTCCCCTAAAGGGGGGCACGCCCGGGCGAAAGCTCGCATCCGCAAGGCGGGGTCCTCTGACCAGGTGCTGCAAGACTAGCGATATATGGGATGCTGATGCAGGGTGCCCCCGGAGTGGGGCCCAACAGATTTTCTCTTTTACCTTTCTCAACCAAAAACCAGCCTGGTCCTGTCAAAGGACCCCGCTTCTTAGGCCACCCGACATTGAACACGGGGCCATTCAGAGCTTCGCATAAGGTGACCATTTACCCGCTTCTTAATGCTCTAAGGAGCAGATTACGGCCCGCGGCGGGCCCTGTGCTTGTACATCTCTAAAGTGGCCCAGTAGCAAGGGAAAGGGGCGTGTCATGGCTTGTCGCCATGTGGCCGTAAGAAAGCAAGCTATACAAGGAAGTAGCGCCCCCTGGGCCGCCTCCCGGTTTTGATCTAGTCAATTCAGTCGCGTCGGCACTCCGATGTTCCTCACGGGTCTTAGCGTGGGGAGCCTGTGAATCACAACCCTGCACTCAGCGCTCAGCGGCGAAAACCCATTCACTCAAAGTCAGACAGAACACAAAAGGCCGGCGCAAACGAGACAAACGACAATAACATCACGGAACACCAAATTAACAATACAACGCATAACTGGTCCGGACTCCTCGCGCCGATTTCTTGCTGAGCGAACGGCGCCGTTGGCTGGCGAGGTGCAGCTGCCGGCTTCCTCCGACCGACGGCCTTGGCTACAAGGTCATACCCGAGAGTTCAGGGCGAACCAGGGGACGTCTCCCGCCTGGTCGCCAACCGGACGACGCCACCAGCGGCGTCGCGCGCTAGGTGCCTGTGCCGGTATTTGCCGATCTGGGGTCTCTCTTGCCTCTGACTGCCGCTCTCAGGACTAGCATCGCGGGGGGCAGAGAGTCGTACTCGGCTCGGCGATCACTGCGTGTTCTGGCCGCTGGGCAGGGTTGTGAGGAAAGGCAAATGCGCCGGATGAGCCACATGTTAGGGAACGGCCTCAGCTCAACCGCCGAACCGACAGAAGGGAAAGAGAGGCACTCGAGGATGTAAAATCACAAGAAGGAGTTTTATTGTCTTGGCTAGGCGGGGTGCGCGAGGCCCGTTCGATGCGCGCCACGCAGTGGTCGCTCTGCCCTTAGGGCAAAGGACCCGAGCGACGCTGAATTGCGGGGTGCCTTTTATCGCGCCCCGCGGGCCCCCCCAAAGGGCCGCCTAGCAGAAGTGCAGGCAAACTAATTACGCGCGTGGTCATCGCCCCCGACCGTCGAGCTGACCTTGTGAAGTGATTAATGTTCGGCTTTGTATCCCTGGGCGAGATTCGCCTGGCGCATCCAACCTTCCCTTATTGCCTTTCTTCAGGCCAAGAGATAACCGGAGGTATGAGTATAAACAGATGTGTGCTGTTCGCTAATTGCCTCACCCTACTTCACACAAAGGGGGGGAAAATTCCTTTCTTGTGCCACTGAGACGCCGCCGAGGCGCCATCGAGGCGCCCCCACAGTGGAGCCCACCAGCAGTCCGAGATGCAAGGGAGGGGAAAGTTAACCTCCCCTCCTACCCTTGCCGCTGGTCTCCACGCTACTCAGGAGGTCTCTGCTTCCAGTTCTCCTCCGCAACCTCCTCCCATGGCTTCTCCCGTGGTCTCAGGTACCCCTCCTTCTGACCCTCGTCTGATGTATGCTCGTCTTCTTGCTTCTCTCTTCTAATTTCTGCTAGAATTTGTCTTTGCTTCAGAGATATTCTGTCTGGCGGTGTTTGTCTCTACCATCTTGCTCCGCCCGCTGTCTTTTGCAATTTAATCTCCAAGGAGAAACCTTTTAAACTAAGATAAAAAGCCTCAGAAGTTTTCAAAAAAATTTGCCAATAATTCTTCAAATATATCTATTTGGAAACATAATGTTTTCCTTAATTTTATCTGGCAAATAAATTTGATAAACAAAGTTGAAGGGTGAAATAGATTCGGTAAAAACATTCTTCAATGTATTTGACAGATAAAGCGTTACTATCTATAATATTTGAAAAGCTCACAAAAATTGGTAGAAAAGGGCAAATAGGATAAATAGAAAAAATGCTAAAATGTAAAACTGCTCACCTGCACTCGGGAATGTTCCTACCACTGAAGCCTGGGTGGAAACTCTGGCCAGGTGTGCATCTGCCTCTCCTGTCACACACCCCCTTCCAGAACACTCCTGCCAACACCAGGCTCTGTTTCCCTGCGTGCTTTAGGGATTCTCAGGAAACTCCTCTCTCAGGAAAACCTGTCCCCTGAGCACACCAGATGCCCTTGCTTCCCTGTTGAGACCCACGATGGCAGAGTCAGATGGGGGTGGTCTGGGAGGCCTGGGAGGACTCTGGTCACACGAACTCACGGACAGGACCTGCGTCCGTGGAGGCCCCAGCACATCCCCACGGGGTCTGGAGGCAGGAGGCAGTGCGTGACCATTTTTGAACTGGGCTGTGGCATGACCACTGCTTTGCAAGTGAGGGAGCGAGGGAGACGCAGCGAGCGAGGAAAGGAGGGAGGAGGAAGTGAGCGGCGCATTAGGAGGTGGTGAATGTTAGTTGATGGAGTGATGGAGGCCGCAGTTGCAAAAGCACCCTCGGAAGACTCTCCATCTATGTGACATGACCAGTAGAACTGAAAAGCCTCCATGAAACTTGAGGTTCGATAAACAGGGTCCATTCAAAACAGCTCTACAAAAAATAACTGCCCCAGTACTCAACCATAAAAGCGCTGACTCACTCATCCAGTCAGTCACGTGAATGAAAGGTGTCCTCTGAGCTGGGTCCCCCTCCTCAGCAGCCACACCCACAGCTGGGCACCTGTCCTGCCCGCCTGTTCTAGGTCTGCCCTCCCATGACTCAGCTGTGTGAGAGAATCATCTCCACGCTGCCTTCCTGGAGGAAGCTCAATGGGCCCAACCAGCTGATGTCGCTGCAGCAGTTCGTGTACGACGTGCAGGACCAGCTGAACCCCCTGGCCAGCGAGGAGGACCTCAGGCGCGTGGCTCAGCAGCTGCACAGCACAGGCGAGGTGAGCGCCCCGCAGACCCACGTCCGTCCCGGATCCCAGCTCCTGGAGGTGGCATGAGCCTGGGGGAGGCAGAGGGAAATGACCCAGCTACCCACAGTATTTCCAGACGCGCGACTGTTACATCCAGCCTCAAGTGACGCTCTGAACTGCAGTTCTCTGCTTTGCTACCTCACTCTAGGGGCTGTCATTTTGTCTTGTCATGTTTCTTGTTCTCCAGATTCTCTCAGTTAGGGAGCGCAGCGCCTGCTGCCCTGGGTGACTGGGTACCTCCCCACACCCCCTGGGCTTCTGGAACTTCCTGCCATTCCTGGCAGCCTTCACAACGGCTGCTTCCCAGAGTGTGGACTGACCAGCTCCACACCCGGTTCACCATCGAAAAAGGCAGTCTCTCATAGAGACAGTGTCTGTGGACACGGAGACAGAGAGACAGTGCACAGACACACAGACTAATCATAATTCACGGTACACATCTAAAAAAAAAAAACCAGCAAGCTATGGCTGCCAGAAATTACCCGAAAATGGGAGTCTTCGCTCTGGCTCTGTTACGTTCGGCTCTGGGGTGCGGTTGGAAACCTGTTCTGACGGCATCGTACGCCGGTGCCCAGAATGGGGCGCAGCCTTTGAGTTCCTGCAAGAGGGGAAATCCGGAGACAGCGTGAGCTACTCTGGGCCAAGAAGACTGATCTGAATATTACCACTAGAAGCAGCTCTGAGACAATTAGCAGCCAGAGCTTGCCTCTCCAGTCTCGGGTGCCAGGTCTGACTCCATGAGCCACGTATTCTTAAAATTAAACTTGAATCCACAAGCCAGTGACCCTGAAAACTAGAGGCTCAGGCGGTGACTTTGTCAACCTTTAAACTCCCAGTTAGACAGCCGGCTGATCTGACTGCTCAGGAATCCTGGAAAGGGATGTGCCCAAGGAAGAAGACAAGCAAAGGGCCAAAGCTTAGATTATAAGATACTGGCGGAGATTAAGAATGGTATGAGTATAATAATAAACTCCTTTGGCACAGCATTCCCTTGCCTTCTTGTTTTTGACCAGCACCTTTCTAGATCATAGCATATAATCCACTTATTTGACATCATTCCTGCGTGCCCTTGAGACTTGAGTAAATCAAGGAAGACTTACAGAAGGACGACCATAAAGGGAACCTACCCCACGGGGTCTCCGCCCTAGCCGGCCTCAGCCCTCCTCCAGCCCTGCCTTCTGGTACCTGCTCTGCAGGTCTCACTCCATTTCCCCAGCAGCCCTTCTGGTGTGCCCTTTCTGGTCCAGGGCACAGCATTTACTGTGAGCTGTGTCGCCTGCTTACTCTGCTCCTCTAGGGGCCAGATTGTCAGTCTCTGTCTTTCGTGACCCTGAGGAGATGGCAGTGTTTAGGACGCAATTGCAAATGGTGTTCCACCAAATGCCATATTCAGAACTTAATAGATACTGGCTCCACCCTTCAGGAGTTTTCAGCCAAGGCTCAGGTTTAAACAGAATCAGGGACAGAGGGCGCCTTGAAGGCTTAGGCCCGACTGTGGGTGGCAAAGTCCTGTGGGCGACAGGCAGAGTCTGAGCCCCCATGTGAGGAAGGAGGCACCTTGGGTGGCCACTGTTCACAGCCCCGGCTCACGGCAGGAGGGGAGATAGGAAGGGGAACTGTTCCATAAAGGGAAAGTTACTTCTGTTTTTTGTCACATTTTTTCTTTGTAACATTTGATTTTTTTTAAAGAAATAAACAACCATGACCCTGAAATCCCTCTGGTCACCATCCCCCATCTCGTTCTTATCCCCATCTCTTGGGCCAATAGTTACCATGGCAGCATATCTTTCCAGACCTTTTTAATGATGAGTGTTTAAAATTTACATAATGTTTCAGCCAGACACGGTGACTTATGCCTGTAATCCTAGCACTCTGGGGCGCCTAGGCAGGAGGATTGCTTGAGGTCAGGAATTCAAGACCAGGCTGAACAAAAGCGAGACTACATCTTTTATCTAAAATTAAATATAAAAATTTTTTAAAATAAAATTTACATAATGTTATAAAATGTTCTGAATCTTTTTTGAAAAATATTTTGAAGAATGTCAAGCCTTTAGTAAAGTTGCAAGAGTAGTACCGTGAACTTTCCTCTGCTCTACACTTAAATTGACCAACTGTTTATATTTTGCTCTATTTGCTTGATTCCTCTGTCTTCTGTTTGTGTGCTTATTTATTTTATAGACATCATAGCATTTCTCTCCTAAATAATTTAGCCAGCATCTCCTAAAGAGAATATTTTCCCATATAACTCAATATAATTGATCAAAATAACATTGATATAGTACCATGCTAATATATAGTCCTTTGAAGGTGACTTTGAGCAAAATATTTGAAAAAATGAATATATAGTTCTCATGGAAGAGTTTGCCATTTGTCACAAAAATTTCATTCATGACTATGTTTATTTCTGTGTGTATTTATTTTGGGATCCAGAATCCAGTCTAAAATCACTCATTGCCTTTGGTTGCCATTTCTCTTCTGACGTTGTCAGGATGTTTTTCCCCTCAGCGTTTGGCCTTCGAGATGCATCCGTGTCAATGACCCTGGGTCATTCCTTGGAACATCTGCTCAGGCACTGTCACTGGGACCAGGCCCTTTCCTACTCTGGCTGGTGCGCCCGGCCAGGGCTCTTTCCCTAAGTGACCTTCTGCTGTCCCCTCTGGCAGATCAACATCATGCAGAGCGAAACGGTGCAGGACGTGCTGCTCCTGGACCCCCGCTGGCTGTGCACCTGCGTCCTGGGGAAGCTGCTGTCCGTGGAGACGCCGCGGGCCCTGCACCACTACCGGGGCCGCTACACCGTGGAGGACATCCAGCGCCTGGTGCCCGACAGCGACGTGGAGGAGCTGCTGCAGATCCTCGACGCCATGGACATCTGCGCCCGCGACCTGAGCAGCGGGACCATGGTGGACGTGCCCGCCCTGATCAAGACGGACAACCTGCACCGCTCCTGGGCGGACGAGGAGGACGAGGCGATGGTGTACGGCGGCGTGCGCGTGGTCCCGGTGGAGCCTCACGCCTTCCCGTGCGGAATCTTTCACAAGGTGCAGGTGAACCTGTGCCGCTGGGTGCACCAGCAGGGCACGGAGGCGACGCGGACATCCGCCTGTGGGTGAACGGCTCAAGATTGCCACCGCGGCGCGAGCTGCTGGTGCTGCTGGTGAACCACGGCAGGGCGTGGAGGTGCAGGTGCGCGGTCTGGAGACGGACAAGGTCAAGTGCTGCCTCCTGCTGGACTCGGTGTGCAGCACCATCGAGAACGTCATGGCCAGCACGCTGCCGGGCTCCTGACCGTCAAGCCTACCTGAGCCCCAGCGCTGCGGGAGCACCACGAGCCGTCATGATCTACCAGCCCGCGGACTTTTTCGGGCGCAGGCGCTGAAGGAGACCTCCCTGACGAACCCATGGGCGGCTACAAGGAGAGCTTCAGCAGCATCATGTGCTTCGGCTGTCACGACGTCTACCAGCGCAGCATCGGCATGGACATCCCGCGTCAGACCTGAACCTCCTCACCCGGAGGAAGCTCAGCCGCCTGCTGGACCCGCCCGCCCATGGGAAGGACTGTGTGCTTCTCAGCCATGAACTTGGGCTCCCCGACCTGGTGGCAAAGTACAACACCACAACGGGCCCCCCCAAGGACTTCTCCCCAGCCGGTCCACGCCCTGCTGCGGGAATGGACTCCTACCCCGGAGCACGGTGGGATCCTCATGTCCAAACTGAGGGAGCTGGGGTCGCCGGGATGCAGCAAGACTTCCTGCTGAAGGCATCCTCCGTGTCTCAACTCGATGGCAATCGGCCGGCAGGCCTATGCGTCAAGCTGCCAGCTGGCGACTCCTAAATCCATCATTTACTCGGTCGTGTCGCCGTGCAGCGCAGCTTCTGGCTTGGGCAGGGCTCTCTTTGGACTGCAGAAGCAAGGGGGTGTGACCATCTTCCGCGTTGGAGCTGGCAAGGGCATTCCTGTCTACCCACATCCCGCAGGGACCCCGCCCCAACTCACCTGTTCTCTCGCCTGCCTACGCCCTGCTCTCCATTCCTTGTCTGCAGATGGTCTTCCCAGCTTCACGAGCCACCAGCCTCCTTTAACTTTGGCCATTCGAAAGCTAGGGGAGCTCTTCTCTCAGGTGTTTGGACTCCATTTCATTGTCTCCATACCTCTGATCTTTTACTGGAATCTTCTACTGGCATTCCGCTCACATCTTTCGGATGAAAATTTTTTTTTTTTACTACGCCGTTCTCGATTTATCCTTCTAAACAGCAAAGCTCATATTACTCCAAAGTGTATATTCTTTCCCCTTTCCTTTGTTATACGCAAATCTCCTCAGCTTATCTTTTTATATTATAGGAGAACTCCCATGTATGAATCCCACTGTAGTAATTTATAACGAACAATATGTAGTGCTTTTTTGCAGAAGAGGTGTGTTTTGAACCATGCCAGAAGTCAGCCAGGAGCTGTCACCAAGGAATGTACTCTCTGTCCCTGCTTGTATGCTGATCACCGCAGAGGTCTTCACCACTGTTTTCGTTGTTTCTCTCTTCCCAGCCAGTGTCTGTGTTGCGTTTGCAGGAACGGAGAGACATGAGTGCTTACCTCCGGGTGATTTCTTGGCAGTCGTTGTTTGTATGCGAGCATGTTCTCATTTGTGCTTTGTTGGAAGTCATGTGAATGTCCACGAACCTACAAGCTGTCAGCTTCAATCATTCCGCTCATGCCTCAGGTAGAAAGGTTGACACGGTTTGTCGGGTTGCGGGAGACCTGTGTAAGAATTGCAGAAGAGCCCTGACTTCATCATTCTGTGGCAGTCGCTTGTCATTCGGTGCCATAGCAGACTGGTTTCCACTTTAGATCTTGCTTTGATAACTTCCTATAACTTGAAGTCTAAAACCAGAAAATAAAGGAGGCAAGTTTTCTTCAGTGATTTTAAATTGTAATAGAGTATTAAACTGATGAGGGAACATGTCCTAATTCTTCTGTCCTGAGAAGCATGTAATGTTAATGTTATATCATATGTATGTATATATATATACATATATATATGCACTATGTATATACATATATATTAATACCAGTATTTTTACTTAATCTATAAGATGTTATAAAAAAATTAAGTTTATTCTTTTTCTTTTTTTAAATAAATAAACTGTTGCTCGTCGCATTACTTTTGTTAGACTTTAATTCAAAAGGATTTCTCTTTCTTTGTTGTGTTATCACTGCCATCATCCCACATGTCATAGGATAAACCCATCTGAAATCCAGAAAGTCATTAAGCCTAAGCCTTCAGGGTTGAAAAACAACCCATTTTTTTGGTGCTTAATTATTACCAAAACTAGGAATGGCACGGTAAAGTTAAAAGAGCTCAGATGAATTTCACATTTCTTCTTATTTTAAAGAAAAGGGACCCCTTTCATTTTCTTTGGGTGAACAACAACAAAAAAAAACAGATTGAATCTTTTTGTCTTGGCAATGGAGAACAGAAGAAGCTTTTCTGTTTCTATGCAAAAGTGACGAGGATGGTGCCATGAGCAAGGGGAAACCTATAGCAGAAGATGCATAGCTTTCTGCCCTTCTTTAAATTCAAACTACATTTGCAGTTCATTTTGCACCCAAACTGTCCACAATAAA